CCACCATTCAGTTCTCTGTGGATCTCTTTCTGTCCTGGGAGTAGGAGCATGAGAGATGCAGAGAGGGATTTTGGTTAATCACGGGGGCTTTTCTTCTGGATTAAGTAATGGATGTGATTAACTGTAATATGTAGAATTCCAAGATACCCACCTGTAGCTCTTCTGTGCAGCTAATTTTCAATTCTGTGTTGATTTCCTGCAATACCTCCCATACCAACCCAGATGGCGTCTATTTAAGAAATTCAAGGAACTCGTAATATTAGCATAAGCAGAGCAAATTGGGAAATAAGTGAGGCAGAGAATGAGCCAAGACAGCAGGAAACGGGACATAAATGATGCCTCTATTTTCTAAGCCACAGGCTCATTAAATCATCTAGCAGGTATTTGCTGAGCCCCTACCAGTGCTGATGAACGAAGGCAACACAGCAGCTCAGAGCCCAATGGAGGACGTATGTCCCTGCTTACAGCTGTTGGCAGTCTAGGAATGACTTAGAACCTGGTCTTCATCTCTTCACGTTGACCCTGTGTGTGTGTCCACCAGACACAGGTCCAGTGTTCACTTTCCCAGTGCATGTGTTAGGATGTTGGAGGTCCATAGCAAACTCCCCAAGGATGGGGTATCTTCTCTCCTTCCCCAGGTAGTCCAGTATGAGGAAGGCAATGAGGCTCAGAGGGTTGGGTTAGTCAAAGGACACAGCAGGAGAAAGAACTGGGTGCCCACTGTGGCCTTGCCATCCATGAACTGAACCCTTCCTGCCCCATGTCACCCTGGGACTAACCTCCCAGGGGACTGTCCCGTGGGAGAGGGTGGGGTGCGATAGAAGTAAGGAAGCATGTGTTTTAGCTTTCTGGGAATTATGCAGCCTGAGGTGTCCTGGAAAGTGCTGGAATATGGATGTGCTGGTTAGTTTTAACTATCAACTTGAAACCACCTAAAATCAACTGAAGAATTGTCTGGATCAGGTTGGCCTGTGGATGTGTCTGGGGAGGATTATCTTGACTGCTGATTGATGTGGGAAGGCACAGTCCATTGTGGGTGGTTCCATTCCCTAGTTTGGGTCTCTAGACTGTATGAGAGTAGAGAGAGCTAGCTGGGTTCTGAACAAGCAGGCAGCATGTGTGACTCTCCTACCTACCATTCTTGGAAGTGGCATTACCAGTGGCTTGAGTTCCTACCTTAACTTCCCTGAGATGTTGGACTGTAACCTGGAATGGTAAGATGAAACGAACCCTTTGGTCCTCAATGTTGTTTATTGGTCAGGGTGTTTTAGCACAGCAACAGAAGTGAAGCTAGGGTAGTGGGAGTTAGCCTGGGCTAAACTGTGTTCTCCCCATCACCCGCTCTCTGTGTGACCATAGATGAGTCACTCAATCTCCACAGACTTGGTTTCTTCATTGGAAACTTTAATAATGACATCTCAGCTTAGGCCTGTAATGAAAATGATAATGTCTGCAATGTAGTAAAGTATACAAACACACATATATACATGTATAGTTCTACCATCAGCTTAGATTTCTTTTAAAAAATTTCTATGTTTGGGCTGGAGAGATGTCTCAGCAATTAAGAGCACTGGCTGCTATCGCAGAGGACCTGGGTTTGATTTCCATTACTCACATGACAGCTAACAACCATCCATAACTCCAGTTCCAGAGGATCTGATGCCCTCTTTTGACCTCTGCTGGCATTGCATGACATGAGTGCACTTACAAACATGCAGACAATACATTCATACACATAAAATAAAAATGACAAAAGTTTCTATGGTTTTATTTTTACTAAATTTTTACAAAATTTATTTTTATTTAACATGTATTGAAGGAGAGTGCCCTTCAGACCCCCTCCCTGTCCTCTGAGAAAAAGCTGCCTTCCGCCTGACTCTGGAAATCTCCTCCATTGTTCAAACCCTTTCCTGGTACATCTGTTCATGGTCTCTATGGGAATGGTCTGGGGCGGAAGAGAAAGAATGTTCTGCCCCAGGTAAGCTAGCCAATGGCTGTATAGGTTAAGGTTCTGGAAATCAGCCCTATATTGTTCAAATCCTTTCCTGGTTATTCTGTGTATGGTTTCTATAGAAATCCCCTGCTTTGTTGTTTTTGTGGTTTTTATGCTTAAAAGCCCTGTGTTTTCACTGCTCAGGGTGGCAGTACAGCTCCTGAGACTGTCTGTGTCCCCAGCCGGTTGGCCTCAATAAAGCACTTCTTTTACTGAGACTCAGTGTCTGAATGGCCAATTCAGGGAATTCTTCGGACCTCGAACAGTTTGAGTGTTTGGTCTGCATGTATGTAGGTGTACCACATATGTGCAATGTACTTGGCGATCAGAAGAGGCCATCAGATCCTCTGGAACTGGAGTTATGAATGGCTATCTGCCACATGGGTGCTGAAAACTGAATCCAGGTCCTTCTCAAGAGCAGCCAGTGTTCTTAACCACTGAACCATCTCTCCAGTGCTATTTTTTTTATTTTTGACTAGCTTACAAAATAGCAGCTTTCCATGTGTTTTAGTGATTTTTCTGTTGTTTTGATAAAACACTGACTGACCAAAGCACCAGACAGAAGGAAGAGTTATGAATCCAGAGGGATCAGAGTCCACATGGTGCTGGAGGCCTGGTGTCAGAGTGGCTGGAGCAGAAAGTCAAGCAATCGCATCTTCAAGCAGCACAGGAAGCAGAGTGAGACTAGAGATCTGTTAAGGATAAGAGCTCTCAGAGACACCCCCAGTGATGTACTTCCTCCAGCAAGGCCAAACCTTCTAAGGCCACCCCAAACAGTGCCACCAACTAGGGACAAAATGGAGCCTTTGGGAACATTCTCGCTCAGACCAGCACATCACGAGTACTTGATTTTGTTTGGTTGCTCCCACACTGCTGTTCTCCCCTATCTCCCTGGCCCTGCCATACCCTTCCATCCTCAGTGTCCCCTTCTAGTCTCGGATCATGTCTTCAGTTTCCTTCTCACAGCCCTCCTTCAATTCCCCTTTTCCCATCGCACAGGCCCCTTTCTAGTTTCTTGGTCTCTACCTATACTTACCACCTCCTGTATTATTATTAGCCTTTAGGCACATAAAACGGGAACTTTCTAAGTCTGGTGGTTTGTTACTCTAACATGTGACCCTCAAGATCATTCAGGGACTTGGGATCTCTTTCAGGCTGGGGACAGACAAGTCTCTGCAGCTGGTGTTTGATAGCAGTGTAAAGCTGTGTAAACTGTGGAAACCTTACTTATGAAAGTATTAGGCTTGTTTCCTGTGGGCTCTCCTATTTTATAAGGGGCCCGGTAAAGGTCTGGGAAGGTCATCCTACAGTTAGCTACAGAGGACAGAGCTCTGTCAGACGTGCATGCTTCCTTGTGCTTGATAAAGTTTTTCTCTGGGTGAATTGTGCCTGTGTTGAGTTAGAAATTGAACACTGTATGGATGACTTGCCCACTGATGATAACCCTCTCCAGGTCTCTGGAATGAAGGTGGTTCTTCAGCACAAGGCCCATGTTTACCCACTGTCCCTGTCACCAAATATGTTGACTCTTGCAAGAACAGGAGAACGAACCAACAGGTTTTAAGAAGACTTTTTTTTTTTTGCATTAGGGTTTGAAGGTAGGATGGAATACATGCTAGGCAAGAGCTTTACCACTGGTACACCCTAGCCCGTACTTTGTGGGGTTTTTTGAAGGTTCTCAAAGCTGTCATTTATTCCCTTCACCAAACTTTAGAAATGTTCTCTGTTAACCCATCAACCTTTCAGATCAAGGATTTGAACAGTCCAGGACACACACAGGAGACCTACTTTGTATTTTAAAACACATCTTGCTAGGTTGTCCAGGCTAGCCTTGAACTTGTGATCCTTCTACCTCAGTCTCCCAAATAGCTGAGACTATAAGTCTGTGCCACCAGGCCTGATTTTGAGAAGTCCTGGATGGTCCTTCAGCAAAGCTTTTCCTGGAAACTCTGCCCAAGTGTGCCGGCCAGTCTCAGCTGAACCAGATTCTGACTGTTAAGGCTAGCCCTGGCACTTGATCTTCTGGGGGTGGGGTGGGGCTGTTGCATGGCAATTCTGTCTAGTGAGATGGAACGTGACCCTCACATGTGGCTTTGGTGAATCTAATAACCACATTGGAAAGAAGCAAGAAGAAACAGGTGAAACTGATTTTAGCTATGGCTTTAATTCAACCTGGCATATCAAAACAGTATCATTTCAACAATTAATAAGCATAAAAATATCACTAATGTAGAACATTGTACTCTTGGTCGCCAATGGAGTATTTATTTGGGACAAGGTTTCATGTAGCCCAGGCTGACCTTGAGCTCACTATGTAGCTGAAGATGACCTTGAACTTCTGATCTTCCTACCTCAACCTCTGCTGGGATTTTAGGTATATACAACCATGCCTGGTTTTTAAAAATTTTTCTTTTATTTTTATTTTATATGTATGAGTATTTTACACCCTTGTGTGGAATGCCCTTGGAGACCAGAAAGAGGGAATTGGATTCCCTGGAACTAGATTTACAGATAGTTGTTAGCTGCCATGTGGGTGCTGGGAACCAATCTCCTTGGAAAAGCAGCTGGTGCTCTTAACCACTGAACCATCTCTCCACCCCTATACCACCCCTGATATTATGTGGTTTGGGGGATGGAACCAGGACTTCATCCATGCTAAGCTTCACCCCCAGCCCCATGTGGGGTCTTTAATTGGAAGAATATTTTGTACTTGCAGCACAGTTTAGTTTGGGTTAACCACCTGCCAGGTGCTTATAGCCAGAGGTGGCCGGGGGCTACTGTATAGCAAAATACAGGCTCAGTGTATTCAGCCTAGTTAGGAGAAAAAGCAAAAGCCCCAGCAGATTTCAGTTAAAACAGAAATGTGCATTAGAGACTTCATCCCTGTGAGCTCTGGAAGGACCAGAGGGCTGGGGAGTGGTGTGCAATTCCTTACTCTATAAGTTTATGTAGACACAAGGATGCCCAACTCTCCACATCTGTACCAATCCATATCTGTCACTTTAAGGACTGGCAGCTATGACCCCACAGCCGCACTTGGAGGAGAGCTGAAGCCACTGAAGTCCACTACCCAGGACAACCAGTGTGCAGCCATCACCAGGAGGGAATGGCTTATTCAAGAGAAACAGCAGGTGCAGGTGAGTGGTGTAGAATCTTCCAGAGAGGGGATGAATTTTTTATTTTTTGGTTAAAGTGAGTCTTTGCTTTGCTGCAGTGGCCTGAGGGCACAGAGGAACCTCTTTTGCACAGGAGAGGCTGCTTCCCAGTGTCCTGCTCCTCAGGACTTCCCTGCAGTGCTCTACTTGTCTACCTGGAAATGTGTCTCCTCCCAACCTCTGATCGGTAGAAGCTTCCCTTGAAAGGTGGAGAGTGATCTATGATCTGGGAATGCTTTGTAGAAATTCCTACCGTGGTGGGAAAGCAGCTGTTAAAGGCCACGGATGTAAGTCTGGACTGGGTGAGGTGGGAAAGCAGCTGTTAAAGGCCACGGATGTAAGTCTGGACTGGGTGAGGTGGGAAAGCAGCTGTTAAAGGCCACGGATGTAAGTCTGGACTGGGTGAGGTGGGAAAGCAGCTGTTAAAGGCCACGGATGTAAGTCTGGACTGGGTGAGGTGGGAAAGCAGCTGTTAAAGGCCACGGATGTAAGTCTGGACTGGGTGAGGTGGGAAAGCAGCTGTTAAAGGCCACGGATGTAAGTCTGGACTGGGTGAGGTGGGAAAGCAGCTGTTAAAGGCCACGGATGTAAGTCTGGACTGGGTGAGGTGGGAAAGCAGCTGTTAAAGGCCACGGATGTAAGTCTGGACTGGGTGAGGTGGGAAAGCAGCTGTTAAAGGCCACGGATGTAAGTCTGGACTGGGTGAGGTGGGAAAGCAGCTGTTAAAGGCCACGGATGTAAGTCTGGACTGGGTGAGGTGGGAAAGCAGCTGTTAAAGGCCACGGATGTAAGTCTGGACTGGGTGAGGTGGGAAAGCAGCTGTTAAAGGCCACGGATGTAAGTCTGGACTGGGTGAGGTGGGAAAGCAGCTGTTAAAGGCCACGGATGTAAGTCTGGACTGGGTGAGGTGGGAAAGCAGCTGTTAAAGGCCACGGATGTAAGTCTGGACTGGGTGAGGTGGGAAAGCAGCTGTTAAAGGCCACGGATGTAAGTCTGGACTGGGTGAGGTGGGAAAGCAGCTGTTAAAGGCCACGGATGTAAGTCTGGACTGGGTGAGGTGGGAAAGCAGCTGTTAAAGGCCACGGATGTAAGTCTGGACTGGGTGAGGTGGGAAAGCAGCTGTTAAAGGCCACGGATGTAAGTCTGGACTGGGTGAGGTGGGAAAGCAGCTGTTAAAGGCCACGGATGTAAGTCTGGACTGGGTGAGGTGGGAAAGCAGCTGTTAAAGGCCACGGATGTAAGTCTGGACTGGGTGAGGTGGGAAAGCAGCTGTTAAAGGTCACGGATGTAAGTCTGGACTGGGTGAGGTGGTTGCACCTGGAGTGACCAGCAGGAATATAGAAGCCATGCTTGGCGCAGAGCAGTGGTGACAGTGGGTCAAGAAGTGTGCAGGGCTGGCACTCTGAGTGAGGCTACGAGGTAAGGCCAGAGCTGGCCAGGCAGGAACTCCAGAAGTTCTCAAAGTAGCCCAGGGGCAGGGAGCTGAGAGGTAGGGTCTGGGCCTGCTTGAGCTGGGAGACCTGAAACAGAAACAGGGAGTGGCGGGGAGCACTGGCTCACAGTATCAGGGTTTCCTGGGAACAGTTTGGCTCTCCAGATCCCAAGTCCAAAGCCTGGCAGAGATTTTTTGTATTAGTTACTTTCCTTGCCATGGTGACTGAACACCTGTGTGGTGTGATTTTTTCCTGGGGAGATGTGAAGGAGCATCTACTCACCCCAGATAGGAAGGCAATGACAGACTGAAGAAATGGTTCCACCCAAGTAAGTCTAGCTTAGTGAACTAGTGTGTTTATTGGGGTTGCTTATAGGAATAGGGATAATGGGCTCCCTATAGGAGCATGGCTGACTCACAGGCAGCTGCATCACTGAGAAATCCACCCCAGCATAGGTGACCTCTCATGAAGGCTGCATCCCATAGCTTCCTGGGCTGGTTGAAGAGTCTCTAGTGTTTAGCTAGCCTTGGAAGGGTGCCTTATGAATCTTGCAAGTTTCAGGAGCTTTCTGAAACTTGTAAGTTCTATTTAGAATTAAAAAAAGTCTCCCAAGACTTAATGAATGTTTCAATTTGGAGGAAAATGACTAGGCAACAGCTTGGCAGCAACAACTTTAGGGAGGAAAGGTTTATTTTGGCTCACAGCTTGGTGTGGTCCATCACAGTGAGGACAGCATGGTGGCTGAAGGGGCTTGGGTCATATCAGTGGGAGCCTGAGAGGGAGGACTTGTCACACCTCAGTGGCATACAGGAGAGAGAGAGAGAGAGAGAGAGAGAGAGAGAGAGCACATTCTGACACCAGAAGCAGATTTTACCTTCAAAGCTCACTCCCAGTGACCCACCTCCTAAATATTCTACAACCTCCAAAAACAGCACCACCAACTGGGGACCAAGTGTTGAAACATATGGGCCTATGGGAGACTTCACAGTGGAACCATGACACTTTGCTTAGCAGACAGCTTAGGGGAGTTGGTGGAGTTGGGGAAGTTATTCCCTGAGCAGTTTCATCATCTGAGTTTGCCCCACCTAAATCTCTACCATAGCAAGGTGGTAAAGGGAAGTAGGAATTGCAATTGGGAAGTGCCCTTGCTCCCAACAAACCAGGCTCTTAGTTGTGCAGCGAGCATCCTCGTGAAGTTTGGACAGCTGGAAATGTGAAGTCAGTTTTTTATTTTAGAATTGCATCCGTGAGTACTGTATTTGCATTGTATCTACCCCTCCCAGTCTCTCTCCAGCTCCTCCCATGTCCACCTGTCTCCCTCCCAATCTCAATTTCTTGTCCTCTTCTTTGAATATTGTTACATTCATATGTCTATAAATACACACACACATATGATACACTGAGTTCATTTAGTGGTGTTCCTGTGTACTTGTGTTTAGGACTGCCAACTTGGGATTACATAACCTCTCAGGTAGCTTGTCCCTAGAGGAAACTGATTTTCTCTCCCTCAGCATCCATTGACTGCCTGTAGCTCTTCATCTTGAGGTGGAACCCTCAAGATTAAATTTTCCACATCCACCTTGCCATGTCAACTGGTTTTGTCATGCAGGTCTTCTTAGACTACCACTGTGGAGATGTTACGGGTGCAGCGTCCCTGTCACGTCTAGATGCATTAACTAGCAGCAGGTGTCTTGTCCCTCTGGCTCTGGCATCCTTTCTTCCCTCTTCCTCAGTGTTCCCTGAGCCTTATCTCTAGAGGTTGCATTGTAGATGTGTCACTTAGGGCTGGGGACCTCACAGTCACTTATTCTCTATTTGACCAGTTGTAAAACTTTGTAAGTCTCCAACTGTTGCAAAAAGAAGCTTCTTTGATGAGTGGTGAGATACACTTGTATCTAAGGATTTGGAGTTTTTTAAAACAGTGTTCACTAGTTAAAGGTCTCTAGTTCTCTGCACCACTCCTGAGGTCAGAGTGCACAGAAGAGACCACAGCACAGGCCCTCAGCAACCAAAACACCATCCTATGGTATGAGCCATTCCACCTCATTTGTTCCACAGGTCCTTCCTGAATGTTCATCTTGTACTGGGTGCTGGGTGGATGCCTGGGATCCCCTTGGAGCTTGCATTCCACTGGGGATGGGAGCTGGGGTGATAAATGCCATAAAAACATAAAGTTAATAACTATCATGCTGTAGGCAGTGAGAATCTCAATGCACAGGCCAGGAGAGGAGTTGAGAAGTGAGCCGGAAGCAAATGTTGGACAGAGTAGGGGGCAGACCCTGTGGGCCTCAGAAGAGGAAGGAGGAAGAGATCTCTAGAGATCTGTGGTATGGGAGTAGTGCATGTTGGGTAGGGGGAAGATCAGAAGTGAAGCATTTAGACTTTTCTCTGACTGCAGTGGGGATCTGTTTAGGGTTCTGAGCATGAGACAAGATCTGGCCATACTTTAAAAGACTGCGGGGTTAAGAATAGGACATAGGTCTGGGGAGGTAGCTCAGTGGCTAAAGCTCTTGCTGTGCAAGTATGAGGACTGGAGTTTGGGTCACCAGAATCCAGCAAAGGCTGGGTGGGTGCAGTGGCCCACCTGTAACTCTGGCCTTGGAAAGCAGAGACAAGGGATCTCCAGAGCAAGCTGGCTAGCAAGACTAGCCATGTTGGTGAGCTCTGAGTTTGATTGAGAGCCTCTATCAATGACAGCCCAGCACCCATCACTGGAGGAATGGAAGAGCAAAATATGGAATGGATCCAAAGGATGGCCACTTGCCTTACAGAGGAAGGGCATGCAGTCCAGCCACAGCATGGGTCAACCTCAAGGACATTATGCTATCAGACATAGTCAAGAAAAATAGAGAGGAGGAGAAGGGAGATGGGGAGGGGGAAGGAGAGGGGGAGGGGAAAGGAGAGGGGGAGGGAGAGGGGGAGTAGAGAGCAGGTGCCTGGGCCTTAAAGGTGGACACAGTGGTTAATTGACAGCCTTGTCAAGTGGCTTGTAGGCATTTGATCCCATCTCTCTCCCTCGGTGGACGCAGGAGGCAGAACCATGGAGAATCTGTGTTGTGGGTCGAGAGAACATGCATGAGACATGGAGACACCAGGAATCAGGCTTCAGTCTCACCAGCCAGGAACAGTGTGGGAACAGAGGACGTGTTCATTAAGAGAGTATGGTGGGGGATAGAGAGATGGCTTAGCAGTTAAGAACACTGGTTGGTCTTGCAGAAGACCTGGGTTTGAATCTCAGCACTCACATGGTAGCTAATAACTATCCATAACTCCAGTCCCAGGGGATCCAACAGCCTCTTCTGACCTCCAAGGGCAATTAAAGAGAGCGAGAGCGAGAGCAAGAGCGAGAGCGAGAGAGAATGTTCAGATTTCAGGCTGGGCAGTGGCTGTCTGTCCAGCACTGAGCACAAGCTGTGTTCAGTTACCTACTGTTTGCTTATTTTGACCTCGAGGCAAAGGGTATTTATGGATCATTTGGATTCTGGCTTGATGTTAGTGGAAATTAAATGTGTGTGCGTGTGTGTATGTGTGTGTGTTATGTATGTTTGTGTGGGTGTATGTGTGTATGCAGGTACACATACATGCATATAAATATGGTGGCCAGGGGTTGGCATCGAGTACTTTCCTCTATTGTACCCTGTTACAAGTTCTCTCACGGAACCCGGAGCTGACTGGTTGGACTGACTGGCCAACAAGCCCCAGAGATCCTCCTTTCTGGCCCTCCCTCTCCAGTGTTGGGGTTCAGATATGTACTGAAGCACCTGGCTTTTATATGGGTGCTGAGGATCTGAACTTAGTTCTTCACACTTCCATGGCAAATGCTTTGCCAACTGTGTCATCTCACCAGCTCTGGAAATGAAATTTGTCTGATACTCTGAAGGAGGTATTTAATGATCAGGAGGGAAAATTTCTCCTGCCTGCTCATCAGAAACAAAGGTGGCACAATTTTTCCAGGTCAGCAAACTTCCAGAATCTGTCTGCCTCAGAAGGGGGGCTTCGTGGCTGTGGTGCATATGGCCTGCTCTCATTTAACTGAGTCATTATCAGCAGAGTGGGGTTAATGGATGAAATCTGTTCCCTTATCGCCTTGCAGAAGGCAATTGAAGCTCTTCAAGCAAGATCATCAGCCCTGGAGGCAGAAGAACAGCAGCTGGAAAGAGAGACAGAGGGTCAGGAGACACGACCGCAGTGGCCGGGATGCGACCTGACGTCCCTGCTGACTCAGCTGTCCCCAGATCAGATGCAGGAGGTCAGCAGGGCCTTGGGAGAGACCTTGGCCTATGCTGGCCAGGTTCCCTTCTACATGGAGCCTCCCGGAACCCTCAGGAGGTACTGCTGATGTCCGACCTCACCTCTTTGGTCTGTTTATTGAGATGATTTTGCTGTCCCTTGTCCAAAGATATTTCTCAGGTGATTAGGAAGCACTGTTGATATTTTGATGGGCAGATGCTTCAGTGTGGGGTGTGATCCTGAGCATTGCAGGTTACTTTGTGCCCTGTCCCCCCCAGTCTCTAAATGCCACACCGTCCCCACTTCCACAGGCAATTTCCTCATTCTAAACACCTCAGGGGTGGCTTCTCTCCCCATCCCACTGTTGCATAAGCTGACTAGAGATATTGATGCTGGCTTTTGCTGATGACAGAGATGGATTCTGCCTCTCTCTAAAGGGTAGGGGGTAGCATTCAGAGAGGGGGACTTAGGCTGGGCGGTGGCTCAGTCAGTGCAGTGCTTGCTGCACAAGCATGAGGATCTCAGTGTGATTCCCAGCACCCACACAGAAAGCCTGGTGCAGTGGCCTGTGCCTGTAATCCCATTGCTGGGGGTGCATAGATAAGAGGATTCCTAAGGCTTGCTGGCTACCTAACTTAGCTGAATTGGTGAGCTCCAGGTTCAGTCAGAGACCCTGACTCAAAATACAGAATGGAGAGAAATCAAGGAAGATATACAGCCTACACACACACACACACACACACACACACACACATACACACACACACACGTGCACACACACTCACAAAAGGGGGCAACTCAACCAGTGTTTCCATCACGATGATGGACATGTGTTGGTGGCTGGCACTAGCTGAGCATTCACCATGTGTCTGAAGCACGAATGGGCTCAAACAGAGCCTTCCTAAGAGTGCAGGCCTTTCTGAGCATGCTACTCAGGGAGCCTGTGCTGGTGCGAGGACATCTCTTCGGACCAAGGCCTTGGGCATCTACCAGTCAGTGTTGCAGTAGAAAGGTGTGTGCTGGGATCATGCAGTCCCAGGAGCTTCTCTGTTCAGGTACTGTAATAGAAGCAGAAAATCAACTCCCAGTGGCTGAGTTTGTAATCACACAACTTAGCATAGGGGGTGAGACCTCCATACAAAGGATCCAGAGGGCAGATAGCAAAATGGGTGTCTTCCAGTGGACAAAAAGGACTCTTTTTAGATACCAGGAGGATCAGGAGATCACCAGCAAGGAAGCAGACAGGGCAGGGGAATACAGAAGCCATGTAAAACTTCAGGTTCATTACAAACGAGTGATAGCAAACATGAGTGAGGATGTGGAGAAGAGAGCCCTCATTCACTGTTGGTGGGAGTGTAAACCTGCACGGCTATGGAAATCAGTGTGGAGGTTTCTCAAGAATGAAGTCTAGAACTTCCATATGACCCAGCTTGACCATTCCTGGGCATGTGCCTAAAGGACTCTGTCTGACCAGAGACACCTGTACATCCAGGCTTGTTGCTGCTCTATTCACAGCAGCTAAGATATCGATCAACCTAGATGTCAATCAACTGATGATTAGATAAAGAAAATGTGGTACCTGTGCACAATGGAATTTTATCCAGCCATAAAGGAAAATGAAGTTATAAAATTTATAGGAGAATAGAAGGGATATGGAAGACCTTATAGTAAGTGATGTTAAGAAAGACTAACATTGCATGTTCTCTTTTATATGTGGGTCTGAGATAACTTTATATATGTGTATTTATCTAGGTGTGAGTGTGGGCAGAGGTCAGGAAATTAGAATGAAGTTCATGAGAGGGGAGAAAGAGGCCTTAAGGAAGGGTGTGGAGAGGGTATTAGATACATAAGACGTGAAATGTCTGGGGTTTGGGGTCCAAGGGGGACACTGAGGCGATTGGCCGTTTGGTAAGAGGTTTATTGGAAGGGTTATTAGAACCAAGAACAGACAGCAGCATGGTGGGGCTCTGAGGAGAGTTCAGGCCTGGCAAAGGAGTGGGGGCCCCTTCTATGTCTCAGAGGGAAGAGAAGTTCCCTGCCATGTAGTTGGTAAGCTGTGCTGTCCTGGTTCCTGGGTGGCAGGGGAGGAGAGGGGGCCCTGCATTCCAGGGAAGGAATGTGTGACCTGAGGATGTTGGGGAGGAAGGACATATTAGTTAAAGTGTACCCATCATACAGTTGGGGGATATGCCACCTTAGCCCTTTGATGTCTTGGAGTTTGGAAGCCCATAGGCTTCCTGGGGGAAATGAAAAATTTTGAGTTCTGCCATTCTCCCAAAATCTGGGCACCTGGGGACTGTCTTTTGAGGGGTTACAGAGTCACAGACAGGCTCTTGGTAGGGGGCTTGCCATTTCCTTTACAGCAGTTTTGAAAAAGCAGCTGGGGCAGGTGGGCATGGCCTGATTAAAGCTAACACCATGGGAGTGGAAAGGGGAGTATTGGGAGTGGGGCAGCGAGCGGCTCATAGAAGCTGCCAGGGTCAGAGCCTGCACACTGGCAGCTCTAACGGGGAAGCTCAGCCACTTTCGCACAAGTAACAGTGGGAAAAAACAAACAAACAAACAACGAAAAAGGGAGATTTAGTCACCGTGGCCACAGTGGGAAGAGGAGCAAAGAGGTCAGTGACCCCCCGAATCCGGTTTTGGGGTCCTGACAAAAGGTTTAGGTTTAAACAGAGGGCAGAGGCATGCATAGCTGAGCGGTCCTGGTCCAGCTGTGGTCCCGCCATCACTGACCATCACAGACTCAGCTCCAGTCTTTCCTGCAAGGTGGTCTGGCAAGAGTCAGCACTGAGTGAGATCTCTTCCTGGGAGACTGGCTCTCCTCTGGCCCCGCCATCACTGACCATCACTGACTCAGCTCCAGTCTTTCCTACAAGGTGGTCTGACAAGAGTCAGCACTGAGTGAGATCTCTTCCTGGGAGACTGGCTCTCCTCTGGCTGCACCAGCCTTCAGCCTTTTCTGTCTTAGTGTCAGACTCCTGAGGAAATTCTAGTTTCTTGGGGTGCATTGCTTCAGCAGCCTGATAGCCAAAGGGAGGGGCACAGGTGACAGAGAGGTTATAAGATGGGAGATCCTGAGGAATGGGTGGGGAGGGGAGGAACAACCAAGGCTAGGTGTGTATGAAAATGCTTTAAGAAAACCTGCTTACCTGTATGCTAATTAAAAAATAAAATAAAATTTTAAAAAATTTAGTTCATGTCTGGGATCCCACCCCCCTGGGCTTGAAAACAAGCTCCCTGTTGTTTTACCTTCTGGGTCTTCCTTTGATATCAGGGTCTAGAGGGATGGCTTTTGTCAGTGGGCTTGCCAGCTGAAACCCAACCTCATTCCATCCCAGGCTGGCTCCACTCTCATTGTGGATAATGGACTGGGATGTGGGGGGTGGGGCAGAGGAGGTAAGGAGTGAGGGTGTTGTTGAGGGCAGATACAGGCAGAGGTGACAGTTTCCAGGGTTTTATGAGGGCCACATCTGCACATGCCAGTTCTGCCTATTTGGCATACAGGGATATGTGTGGTGATGCAGGCTCCTCCTTCTCCAGTGCCACCAGTTGGCCCTCCCCTGGCTTTCTGTTGTGCCTCCCACTCCAGGGGAGGGCAGCCTTGTGTAGGATGCATTAGGCTTCCCATACAGCAAGGTAGGGATAATTGTAATAACAGCAGTGGGGACTTGGAGGGCTGGTTCAAGGCTTTCTGATGTTCTTCAGGGATGCTTGCCTGCTTGCATTGGTCTGTGGTGGCATTCTTCATCCTTCAGTTCCTGGGACTTTTCATGCTTCATGTGAAATGTGTTCTGGCAGCTCATGGATGACCCGTCTCTGGTTGTGCATTTGGAAGAAACATGTCACATCTTTATATAAACTGTTGGCACAAACTGTGAAATATATTCCAACCCCTGCTTGTAGCAAATCTGGCCAGGCTTCGCTTGGAGAGTCTGGAAGCTCCATAGCACAGCTGGGCTGGAGAGGGTGGTGGGTAGGCAGAAACCAGGCCTGATACACCCCTTTCTTCATTAGCAGACTACCCAGGGGCTCTGTGGGAAGGGGTGGACTGCACATGGGTCCTCAGGCATCCTGAGCACATTGAGGTCACACTTCTACAACTGGGCCAGGGCTCCTTGCAAGTGAGATTTGAGTCAATAGAAGTTATCAGATCACAACTGACTGGAAACAAAAATTAATGCTCTCCTGTCCCTCAGACACATATCTCAGAGCTGGAGACCCAGGGACTGAAATTGGAAGAAAGACCCCAGAACCAGGGAGGCCCGGCAGAGTCTCAAAGAAGGCACGGAGAAGCACCTGGGTGCAAGAACTGGTCCTAGTATTGCTCCCAGGGGATGATGGGAGGTGACAGACACCGACCCACCCAAATGGACAGTGCAGAGGTTGCTGGGAGCGATCAGCACTCAGACAGAGCAGTCTCCAAGCTGTGCCTCACCTCCATGCCCAGGGACAGTGTTCAACTCTACTTCTGCTTGTCTTTCTCCTCTGCCTTTCACCTGAACGGTTTGCAAGGACAATGCCTTTGGGGCCTGAGAGCATTTGCAATCATCCTGTTACCTTCCTCCCTCCTTCTTTCTTCCCTCTCTCCTTCCCTCTCTTTTTTTCTCCCTTTTTTCTATCCTACCACCTTCCCTCCCTCCCTCCCTCCCTCCCTCCCTTTTTTTCCCTCCCTCCCTCCCTTCCTCCATTCCTTTCTAGGAATTCGCCAGGTGGGTAATTATTAGCACAGAAGCAAATGAAGCAGCACTGTTGTGTATGGTGGTGTGAGACTCGGGGTCTCTAGTATGGGTCCCTTGTGAGAGGAGGCTGCTCAGCCTTTGGGATCCTCTGAAGACATGTGGGCCCTCTGACATGCCTTACTATCCTGCTGTCCTTCTTAGATTGGTAATGGTAAGCACACATTTCATTTTAATTTCTCTATTGCCTACAAACGCTCCTTTGGGCATTTAATAACCCCATGAAAGTAAATTTACTGGTTTGTGCCCAACTGGCAGATGCTGCTGCTGAGTCTACGTTCACACAACAGTGTCTTAAGAACTTTGGAAAACTTTTGATATGGGGCTAACACTGAGGGCTGGAGAGACCAGGGCTTAGGC